GTCTTGCGGTGGGAGTTTATCGGTGTATTGCGTGTGCAGCCTCGCCGTACGACGTTCTTCCGCCGAGAAAATGCTAGAACTAGTGAGGCGGTCGTGGCCTTCCACCGCTACCTGTCTGCACAATGGGCTCGTGATATCCGATGCGGCTCGCTGCATGCCCGAGATCAAACTAGCATTTTCTTTTGTATGCCGCAGCATTGACGTCGACGGAAGGAACATCAAGTCGTAAGGTTCGCGCATTCGGACTGGGCGCACCTCTTCGTGTCTGGGCTCGCCTCTGCCGTACGGAGAAAGACTCAATGACCCGTGCGAAATGCGACCCGGGGTTTGGGTGTGTTGTAGTGCGGGCTCGTCAATTTCCTCGAAGCTTCCCGTCGCATGACGCCCAGCTTCGGACAGGAGCCGAACTGTCAGCTTTTGGGTCTTTCCGAACGAATCTAGAACGCCGCCCTCCGCAAACATAACGACATCGCTAGCCTGCTTAGCGGTACCAAGCACTACTCTACCGAATCCCGCCTCAAGCGACACGAGGACTCCTTTCACTTCGCCATATTCGCTCATCAACTCCGTCAACCACTGCGTCACTCTCCCGACGGCGTCTCCGCCACTTAGGCGCGGCATCGGATGTATGTGCAACACCGCAGACTGTATGTTTCAAGTTTGATTTGATTACAATCTTGACTACAGCTGTGTGGCCCGTTGACGCGTGCGGGCGGCTGTTCTGGGTATGTTGGGAGAAGACAGGTTACTTGAAGCCTTTAGCTGTTCAATGTGGCAATTTCTGTTGTGTTTTCCGCAGTTCAATTCTGCCAACAGGAACTTCCATCCACCCGCTGATCAAATTCCGATCTCTCTAGATTTTGCGGGACAACACCGGAATTATACAACATGCACGAAAATGAGGTTTCAAACTTTTTGGAGACTCAGCTCGAAGTCGTTGCTCGGTAGTGCGCGCATGGCCGGGTGACGTTGGGTTACTGGTCGCCCGTCCACATCATCAGAGATCGAGCATGAAAAGTAAGAAGGAGCTTTTCACGCCAACGTGCGGAAAAGTTGGTCCAAAATTTGGACCCAAACCTTGAACCAAAAATCGAGCCAAACTGGACCCACAAATTTGAACCCAATACTTGGACCCAAAACTTGGACCCAATACTTGGACCCAAAACTTGGAGTCAAAACTTGACCCAATACTTGGACTCAAAACTTGTGTGGGTCCAAGTTTGGGTCGTGGCACAAGTTTGGCCAAAACTTCGACCCCAAAGCAAGGACCCAAAATCCACACAGGAAGTGTGGAACCGTTATGGGCAAAAACTTGGATTTCCATACCGTTATGGGCAAAAACTTAGCGACCATACCGTTATGGGCAAAAACTTAGTGACTATACCGTTATGGGCAAAAACTCAGAACTTCATACCGTTATGGGCAAAAACTTAGAACTTCATACCCCGAGCAAGTTTTAAATTTCACTATTGAGCTAGTTAATAACTAGTGAAACCTCATAACTAGTGCGTCGTGTAGAACACTGCCCTAGCGCACGCGGGAAGTTCCTCTCCAAAACTTCGAACGTCTTTGTGCGGGTAGGGCAGAAGCTCTTGCAGGGTTGCACCGACTTGGTCGTGTACTATCTGATTGACCTGTTTCATCCACACACCGCTGCTATTGCTAGCGTTGGTTCTAATCTCGGTCAAGTGTATCCACCTCGACCCCGCGTGACTCGAGTTGGATTCTTCGGACATGTATAAGCAATGGAGTTACCATTGTTATCCAACTGGGCCCAAAAGGCCCCTTCCCCGTAGATTGCCACCAATTTCATGAGCCGTCTGCAGACCCACTGTTGATCCATTTACTCGGAGACTTGCATGGCGTAATGCTTGAAACAAGCATATGACTACTGGCAGGATGAACCAAATTTCTCACGGACGGCCGCAGCAGACGAGCTGGGCGTCGAGCGCGAGCGCGAGGCTATTGGTCGCTGGGTGAAGAAGCGGCCGAGTGTGGACGGGGGGGAGAGCGTCGCGGGGATGGGTGCGGCCGCCGTTCGCTTTCGCCGCGGGTGCTCGCCGTGGGCGCCCGCAGTCTCCGCAGCCGGCCGGCCGCGCTGACCGGGGTCGAGGGTAACGTCGAACCGCATCGACGTGGAGGCGTTGCCGGCGATGGACGGCGTCGGTCGCTCTCCGGGAGGTATTCCCGATGATCTGACAGTCAACCGTGGATTGTGCACGCTCCCAAGAGCCTTTCTCGTATTGTTGGGAGGAAGGACGGTCTCTGGAAAATAAAGCCTGGAGACAGTGTCATCTGAAAGAGCGGCGGTGAAAAAGAGATGCATACAACTTGTGGTGACAACGGCAGGCGAGGTGAAATAGGAGGCGGCAACAGATCCGAGCGCGGCCCGGCAGCAAGCGGTTCACCTCTTACTGGCATACATGCCCCGGTCGGCGACAGCAACGGTCGGATTGCCGTTGTACCGGGATCCGTTGCGTCGGTACGCGGATGCCGCCCGCCCACAAAGGCTTGATCGACGACAAGTTCGGCGGTTCTGCGGTGTGGCGGCGTGCCTGCCGTTTCGGAGGACTTCGGCGACTCGACTTGTGTGAAAAGCAATTCGGCTTCGACGCTTGCACCTGGAGACCGCCGCTCAAAACGCGTGCTAGGGTTCCCCCTCGGCGTCGCGATTGACTTCAAGAAATCTTCCTCGTCGGCTTCCTGTTTTCGTTGGACGGCTGTTGCTGTTGGATGTTGGGTCGGATGCTTCTTCCTTTTCTTTTTTCAGTCGAGCGAACAGGTACTTCGAAACAGGTGTTCTGTCCCCTCCGTTGGTAGTTGGCTTCTGCATCATCAGGGGTCTGAGCCTGCCAGGATCGGTGTGTGCGCCGGGTTAACGCGCGGGCGAGCCAGCGGCCGGCGTTCGTCAGCCCCCTCGCGGCCTCAAGTCATCCCGCTGTGCTGTTAAAATGCAAAACAAAATAAGTCAAGGCCTACATACGGTGGAAGGTGTTCTGGGCGAAGCGATGCCAATGGGGTCGTCCAATGCTGCAGTTGGAAGTGCAGTAGCGACGAGACAAGCGGGTTGACGCCCGTCCGGTAGAGATGGCGGGGGAGGCGGGGCTTTGGGAGCGGGTGACGAGTGTAACGTGGGTAAGTCTTTCGGTGCTACGGGTGGGTCCGGCGGACGCAAGGTCGGGCTGATATCTGCGGGAGGCGGCGGTGTCGGGAAGGAACCTCGGTTTTGAGACGCAGAGGGTTGAGGCGGGGGGGGCGCCCTCGGTTGCGCAATGGGAGGAGGTGCGTTCGAAAGGGGAGACACCTGCACCACATGTGGGGGTGGCAGCGAAGATTTAAAGAGCGTCCCCTGCGGGAATGAAGACTGTGTCGCGCTGTTGATGCTGTCGTCGTACGCTTTCCGAGACACCAAATCGGCTGCGATCAACGCGGGAGAGCATGTATTGGACGAAGGCAAAACAGGACTCGTAACCGACAGATTCGGCGATGTGCATTTACGCGCTCGTTTCGAGAGGAATGGGGCTGCCCCACCGGACTGAAAGAAGGCGCTGAACGCCTGGACTGCTCGGGACTGCGAGTCCTCGTGCGCTGCTGAAAACGCGTGCAGGACCTGCGAAACGGGGACATCGTTGGCCACCGTCGAAATCAGGTCTGCGAACTTCTCCGGTGTGATTGCAGAGTCCTCGAGGCACAGCTCCCGCTTCATCCGCCGAATGTCGTCGTCCGTGACCGCGAGCCTCAACCGAGAGCTCAGCAGTGTTACCAGCCGGAGCAACTCATCGCCGCTTATTGTTCCGCCTTCATCCCCGTCTACCAGGAGGAACAGCTTTTGATAGCACGAGTTTGAGAACAGCCGGACCATCTCCGGGGTCTGCAAGCCGACGGACTGTTCCATTTTGGAGACGAGCTGCCGGAACTCGGCGCGGTCGATGAGGTTGTTATAATCTGCGTCCGCTTCTTTAAAAAAGCTGACGAGGTCTCCGTGAGCGATCGGCCTCGGCAGACACTGATTAAAGGCCACCACCTCGTCGACAGACACAAACCCACTCCCATCCGAATCAATCAGCTCGAAGATCTCCCCGACGCGGGTGTCCTCCCTGCCCCGGGGTTCCTTCGAGCGCGGATCCATCGGATCTGTTCCTTCCTTTAGAATTTGTCAGACCAGCCCACCCAGGGGAGGTTAATTCCTATACCGACGAAGGGAGTTACAGGCTGAAGTGAATGGAAACATCTGGAAGTTGGTTACTGCACCCCGGGGAGGACTGCCTCTACCTTTTTTCGTATGGCCGTACAGATTGGTGTCTTTTGACGGTTTGTGCTTGTGAGGTTCAGCTTTGTGTGTGTGTGAGGGGATGGGGGGGGGTCGTTGTTATTGGTGCTGATAACATGGATTGACAAACTCCTTTTCAGAAGTTGTTGGATTTGCCCATTTTTTGTCACATCTTGAAAAAAAAAAAAAAAACTTGAAATTTTGTGAATAAACGTCAAGGTAGTAGTGCAGTTTCTTTGCTCAATGGTTGCTCACACGGCCAATCAAGCTCGGCGAGGGCTCCGCAAACGCGGTGAGAAGAAGCGGCGAACACCCGCCGACACGGCACGACCCCCTTCTGCGGCGCCCGCAGCGCGACCCATCTGCTGTTACGTAGACACCGACTGTGTGCTCAGTGCGTTGCTCAGGGTAGTCGAAGGCCTGACAATCACTCTACTGCAACAAACACGTTGGGGACCCAAGTTGGGGACCCAAGTTGGGGACCCAAGTTGGGGACCCAAGTTGGGGACCCAAGTTTGGGACCCAAGTTTGGATACCGAGAAAAAGGTGAACCTTGGGTTAAAATGGTGGTTGAAAATGTGTCTCCACAGTCGGGCAAGTCGTCAAAAAACCCCAACTGGCGGAATTGATAATTTCACCGGCGCGGCAGTGGAACGTGGAAATCCGTAGGTCGTAAAAACCCCCAGATGGCGGAATTGATCTTTTCAGGCGCGGCGCAAACAAGGAAAACTACCCCGTGTGGGATTCGAACCCACAACCTTTGGATTAGAAGTCCAACGCGCTATCCGTTGCGCCAACGGGGCTGCCGAAAAAAAAAAAAATTTTTTTTTTTTTGGAGCGCGGGACACTGTACAAGCCAGTACAGCGGGGCTACCGGTATCCGGAGCACACAGTGAACGCCAGTCTCACTGCGACCTGGGCTGGCCTGCTAGCGAGCAGGTCCGACCAGGTAAAAAAACCCGCGATGCAGTGACTCTACCCCCTGCATCAGGGTGGATCCGCTTCGTCCGGTCGCGCCCCACCAGATGCAATGACGATCCTTGCCACCCCTCGGGCTATAGAAAAGCTCAAGCGGTGGAAGAGGTCCTGGCAGGCGGCCGAAACGGTCCGGTCTTCACGGAGGGCGTTGGCGCGGGCAATGTGCCGCAGCTCCGTGATTGCTCCTGAGGCTGGGCACCAGGCCCCGAACGTGTCTACAACTAGCGGCACCGCCTTCCATTCCCGCGGGTCTGGCTCATTGGCGATGATTGCGTTGTAGACACGCTCCTTGACGGCTACAGCGTACGCTGGCTCTGCCGCCGCCCGGGCTGCGTAGTGCGGCTGCGAGAGGGGCTGGTGCCCATTACAGCACGGTTTTGTTAGATTTGCCCATTACAGCACGGTCTTCCTTAGATTTGCCCATTCGGTGTTTTCGAGTGCCCATTACAGCACGGTTTTGTTAGATTTGCCCATTCGGTGCCTCAAAAAGTGGGACAATTCCCATTATAGTACACTTCCTTATGTTTGTGCCCATTCTCGAACACTATTTAACTTTTTGCCCATTCTCGAACACTCGCTAACTTTTTGCCCATTCTCGAACACTTTTTAACTTTTTGCCCATTCTCGGTAACTTTGTGCCCATTCTCGAACACTATTTAACGTTTTGCCCATTCTCGAACATTCCAGTTTTTGTGGTGAAAATGTCACTTCCCCGAGACATTTGCCTCAAGTTTCACCGCGAGAACAGCTGCGTTCACTGATTCGAAGACGGTACCCTTGCTAACTTCAGGCCGCAGCCTCTTCGGCATCTACACTCGGGTTCTTGGTTGCTTCAAGCTCTTCTACACGTGACGGTGGTGTGCGAGCTACCCCGTTTAAAAACCCGGCACAGACTTCACTGAGTTTGCTCGTCTTGCTTGCAAATTGCGCGGCGGCCATTGAGTGACCTTAGTTCACTGACCTACACCAGGAGAAGCAGCTTGCAAACTTTGCAGCAAAGTGATTCAAAAAAATTGACCGAAATTTTTTGGGTCAAAAAATTTCGGTCAATTTTTGGGTCAAAATTTTTGGTCAAAAATTTTTGGTCAAAAATTCGGGGTCCAATTTTTTTGGTCAACTTTTTTTCAGAGTTGAAGTGGCAGCGGTTACACTTGGCACATGGCTGCATGATGGCAGGAGAAATGGCTCCTGCCATGCGCCCTGGCGGCTCGCCGGCAATTCCAGTCTCTCTCTCAGCCTGCCAGCCTGCGGCAGGGAGGACAAGATCCAGTCACCATCCGCCAGCTCCTGATTATTTTCAGACGACTGGCACTTTTTCTTTGCAGCTTCTACTGTAAGAGTAGCATCACTCAAATCTTGATTGGCTGCGGCGTTACTTACCGCTCTGAGTCTCTCCCGCTCCTCCTCTGGAGTCATTCGTGACGTCGCGCCCGTCGCTGGTTACTACTCGTGGTAAAACAGTGGCTCTGATTCTGAAGAGGTTTCGGCACAGAATTAGGAAGCGCTACAAGTAGAACGGGCTGGTCACTCGCGCATACCTGAATTATGCACGAATCTGTGTTTAGAAAACCGTTTACCCGTAGTCTGCGGTGTCAATGACCCAGTGCGCAACCAGGATACCGAGCCGGGACGCAGCAGCCAACCACAATGCTGGCACCTTGTTCGAGGAACGGATCCGACGGAAATCGGAATCGGAAATGGCGAACCCAAAAATGGCTGGGATTTTTTGGATGTATGGGTGGTGAGTTCGAATCCCACCCTGGGCAAATTTCAATGTTCGAGAATGGGCAAAAAGTTAGGCGACTGTTCGAGAATGGGCAAAAAGTTAAAAAGTGTTCGAGAATGGGCAAAAAGTTAGCGAGTGTTCGAGAATGGGCAAAAAGTTAAATTGTGTTCGAGAATGGGAATTAGCCCCTCAAAAAGTGTCACTTGCGGGATTGGCTTTTTTTGAACCCGAAAAAGTGTCACATGCAGGACTCGAACTCACGACCTTCAGACCTTCCTCTGCGTTGTGACGGTGACATCCACATTTTGGACGATGGACAATGGGCTGTCACCGGGCATAGCTGTCAGCCACATTGTGGCCCATTTGACCACAAAGTAGCCAACCTTGTGGCTACCTTTGTGGCCAGGTGGACACCTTCAGTCTGTCAGAAGTTCAGATGAGGTTGACGGGTTTTAGGGCCAGCTTTTGGGCCAGCTGTTACAGCTGCTACGCCGTTTCTGGCTGAAATTCTGCTGAACCACGTCGCCGGCCAAGACTGAGAAGAAAATGGCAGTTGTTGTCATCCAAAATTCCGGGCCAAATAATCCCAATGTCACCTTCGTAGTGGCCGCACGCTTCGCGAAGGGGATCTCTGCTGACGTGCGGGGATGTGCACGAGAATCCGGGACCGGCGGTGACAGGGCTGATCGCCGCCTCCGCCAATGTCACGTCCTTGCTCGCGCACCCAGAAGTCCACACAATGGAAGCCTGGGGAAGGAAGGTGGATTTGCTAGCTTTGCAAGAGGTGAGGGTGTGCGAGAGGGACAGGGCCCAGGCGGAGGGGGAAGCCCGAAGTAGAGGGAAGAGGCTGGTTTGGGGACGCATGCAGGGCCAGACTCGGATAAAGACGGCTTTGCGGACGGAGTACGGGGGAGTAGCGTTCTCCGCGGCGACCGAACTGCCCGCGCGCGCGGTTCCGCCGGGGGAACTGACGAAGCGACATTGGGAGAAGGGTAGATTTGCGCACGCACAGGTGGCGTACGGGGACGGGAGGAGGAGCCTCTCCATGATGTCGATCTACGGGGTCGTGTCAGATGAGGACGCAACGGAGGAGATCCTGGCGGATACCCTCAGCTACGCGGCCACCCTAGGGGACGTGCCAATTCTCATCGCGGGGGACTTCAACGTCGAGCCCGAGGAAAGCCCGATTTTGAACGCAGCCGTCCAATCCGGGAAGTGGGTCGATGTCGGCAGTACGTGGGCCAAGCAGTACGCCCAACAACCTGCGGCCACGTGCATGGCGTCGAAGAAAGGAAGGCGTATAGACGCGATATTCGCGAACTCGGTGGCGGCAGTGGCGATATCGGGGGTGAACGTACTGACAGCCGAGTCGATACCGACTCACAGGCCAGTCGTGGTGAGGCTGGATCTCGAGCGGTTGGAGCAGCGCTACCCGCAACTGAAGCTACCGAGGGCCTTCCCTGTCGCAGATTGGAGCGCGATGGACCCCGAGGAGGAATTCGGCATGGCGGAGAAATGGGCCAAGGAAGCTGCACACCGGTATCGAGCCGCGCAGGGGGTCGACGCGAAATGGAAGACGGTGTGCGATGCTGCAGAACAGTACCTGCTGGAGAGGAGTGGAGGGCTACTGGAGAAGCCGCGCCAATACGTCGGGAGAGGGCAGCAGGCGGGAGAGTGCGTGCGCAGCCCTGCGGCGAGGCAAGTTGACGGAGAGGCGGATGCGGATGACCGGGACACGAGGGCGAGACTCGGCTCCTGCAGAAGACTCGAGGAGCTGGTGCGGCTGGGAGAGAAGCGGGACACCTGCGGCCAGCCGAGCACGGAGGAGATGAGAGTGTGGAGAAAAGCCCGCAGGGCGGGCGTCAAGCACGTTGATTCGCGCCTGTGGGAGGAGGCGAACCCGCCTGCACTGCCTGAGCTGCAGGCGCTCTGCGGCATGTTGAAGAAGGAGCACGAAAGGACGCGGGCGGCGAGGAGAACAAAAAGGCTGGAAACGTGGAGGGGGGAGATGCGTCGGGCGATCGACGACAACCCCAAGCGTGTCTACGACTGGTGCAAGCAGCCGGAGAGGCACAGCACCCTGTTCGTCGAGAGGGGAGATGGGTCGGTGACCGCCGATCTCCATGAGATGGATGAGATCCTGCGAGGCGAGAAGGCGTGGGGAGGCGTGTTCCAGATGTACAAGGAGGTACGGGAGCCGAAGTGGGAGGACTTCGTGCGAAGGTATGGCAAGTACGTGAAGAGGGGAGCTTGCGAGGACCGCCCGTTGACCGGAGAAGACCTGAGCGCGACGCTGAAGAAGATGAAGGCGCGGAAAGCCGGGGGGATGGACGGCTGGCGAGTGTGCGAGTTGAAGACGCTGCCGGTGCCTCTCCTCGACGTGATTGCGCTGGCGCTGAACGACGTGGAGGGGGCCGGCAGCTGGCCCGAGGTGGTGGCGCAGGCGCTGGTGGTGTTGATCCCGAAGGGGGAGGGTCCGCAGCCTCTCGAGCAACGCCCGATCACGATAACGAGCGTTATGTACCGCCTCTGGGCGGCGACGCGCCTCCGTTTCGTGAGGGAATGGCAAGAATCGTGGGCGCACCCCGATCAACGCGGTTTCAGGAAGAAGGGAAGGACGCAGGAGGTGTACTGGCTCTTGGCGGCGAAGATGGAAGCGGCTCTGCTGAACGACGAGGATCTTTTCGCCGTGGCGTTCGACTACAGCAAATGTTTTGACCGCATACCGCAGGAGATCATGTTGAAGCTTGTGGAAGACATGGGACTGCCGCCATCAGTGTTGAATGCAGTGCGGGGCATGTACCGCCAGCTGAGGCGACGGTTCAAGCTTCCGGCGGGGCTGGGGAAGGAGTTCAAGGCGACGAACGGGATTCTGCAGGGCTGTCCGCTGAGCGTAATCTTCCTGAACGCGCTCGTGTCGGTCTGGATGTATCTCGTTGAAGAGGAGGTCCCGGGGGCCGAACCGCAAGCATTTGCGGATGACACCGAGGTCGTGACGAGGACGAAGCCGGATTTGACGCGGGCAGTGGCTCTGACGGAGGAGTTTTGCGGCGACACGGGTCAGCGACCCAACGCCCGCAAGAGCAAATGGACGGTAGT